GTCACAAAACATTCGTAGCAACCAAAAGGAAGAATTGGTTGAGTTTAAAGTGGCTGGATGCTGGTGGGACTTTGCAACAGCCATTTCAAAAGCTTGGTGTTTAGCATGTATTATCCTCTCCAGAGCCATTTTATGTGTGTTTGTGATTGTTGTCCAGTTGGAACCTCCATCTGGCTTCTGAAGAAAAAGAACCGATGAATCTGGATAATTTGTACATGAGCCCAATTATTAAAAATTATGATCAGTGTTCCCACTGAGTTCCCAGTGTTGAGTATCAGATGATCCAATCAGAAAGTTTGTGATTAAGAAAACATTCAATTTGCATCAATTATCCCACTAATCCATAAAGTTCTATATAAATTCAAGCAGGTTTTCTCAGTAGACCCTAACAGCTACAGATTAATCTTCTTGCTGTTCTTTATAATGTTCATGTGCAAGTGTGTGTGTGTGTGTGTGTGTGTTTGTGTGTGTGTGTACCTGCTGCTTTGTGGAGAGCTTTTTAACACTGTCAGGTTTGAAGTAGCTAAAATCGATCATGGCCTGAAACAGAGAAATGGCCTTCTCACAGTGACCAGACTGCCGCAAGAAATGACACTGCTGGGTGAAGATGTCTGGACAAAAACACAAAAAGTAAAGCTCGTTTGAGGACAAAGGTTTTAATATTACCAAACAGTGCAGGAAATTAAACAAAAGCCTATCTATAGTCTCAGATAGTCAATAAATCTTACCCAGCATATCCTCCTCAATCCCAGGCAAAGCTGGGTGTGACACCATGCTGCCGTCTCTCACAGCGCTGAGCGTGCTCAGACACTTTCCGTATGCAGAGTTGACTTTTGTCACTGAGAAACTGCTGAAGTAGCTCTGCGTAAAAAGCAGATATTCCCTCCACAAGGGGGCGCTGTTTGGATGTAGAAACACCTAGAATGTAGCACACGAAGCTACCATTAGCATTTTTTCTACTCCAGTTTGGATACCTAAATATTTCTAAGTACTTGGAGTGAAAATAATTTGCCCAAAGATATTAATTATTGCCCACAAATGCATGTAAAAAGAAAAATTACCAACATCTCAAAAAGTGAACGAAACCACAACATTTACCAGTTTCTTCCATTCTTTAGCCAAAGTGGAGGGTTCCCAGAGATCCTGGCAGATCCGGAGCCTCTCGAGCTGCAGAGCAACGCAAGTGGGGTTGGTTTCCACGGCTCTGTCTGCAATGCTCAGTTTCTTCTCCAGAATCGCCCTAAAGGACGACTTGCGGCGCTCCGCGAAATCACCGCCCTGCTGCTCCTCATCACCTCCAAATGCAGCTGCACTCAGCTCATCCTAGAAGTGAGGAGGAAGTCCAGATAAAGTAGCAAACTTTATTATTATTATATTACTCTTTCCCACGGATTTATATTCTACAAGTTCTATCAACGTACAAAAATGAAATGTACAAGAAAGCTTTGCTTTATTTTGAAATAAGAAGAGCTTGTTTTTGAAAACTGTGCCCTATTTTCACATCTCCTTTCGGTTCGATGGAGATCTTCATAATTTATATAGCAACATTTTCTTCTCAATTACCTGGTAGCGAATGAACTCTATCCACAGCTGTGTGTCTGCTGGCTGCTCCCTGAGTCGCCGGTTAAACTCTTCGGTTCTTCCAACCACATACTCAGACTTTTCCTCCGATTCTGTGACCTGCTTCACATCCTCCTGAAGCAGCGGGCCCTTCCCCTGCATCCACAGGGAGGTGGACGAATCATACACGCCAAGGGGGTTCACTGACGTCTGTGCCTTGCTATCTGAATGAGAGCCGAAAGAAAAGATGTTTAAAACAAACATTTAAGGACTTTTGAGTCTTACCTAACTTTCTCATTGCATACTAAAACAAAACCTTTACTTGGATCTTGTAAATCAGAATAGTAAGTGATGTTTTGTTTAGTGTTAACATCCAAGAATCATTACCTAACTCATGTCTTGAGTTGTCCCGTTCAGCATCACCCAGGGGGAGGAAGGAGGTTGAATTGAGTGCGTCCCCACTTTCTGGCGTCGCAGGGACAACAGGAACAGGAGGCTCGGCCCGCAGCAGCTTTCGTGTGGCTACAGAATAGTATCTGTCAGTTGCATTCCCACTGACCCCGACTTTCTTCTTCTTCTTTGTGTCAGAATCCTCCCAGCTGACTCCCTGCCTGCGAACGTCCAGACCTAAAGAGGAGCTTCCTTTTCTCCGGTACCTGAGAGAGACACATGTCGTCACAAAGCAGCGGTTAATTGTCTTATTTTAATTTTAGTTTACGATGTTGTATGAAAGTGTCATGCTGTCTTTTATCTTCTCATTTCAACTTTTTGGAAATGGCACAGTGTTTTTGATTGATTTCAGTTTTTTTTTTTAGATTTTGAACACTCAATATGTTTACAGCTAACATGAATTGATAAACAATGGTGAGGGTTTTAACACATTTTTTACGTCGTTATTATGCAATTTTCAGGATTCAAATTTTCAGTGCTCTCAGGATCCTTTTTTAACTAAACAAAAGAAAGTTTAGAGAAATCTCTGTGAGAATGTGTGCGTTACCTGGCGACGTCTCCTCTGTACAGGGACTTATAAGTCCAGTTGGCTGGGTCCGGTTTACAGTCCACACAGAACGGATTTACTGTTGGCGACTGGAGGTCATCTAACCATGAAAAACGAGTTCCTAATGAAGCAGACGGTTGCCTGCACAAACACACACACACACAAAAAACAGAAATGCATAAAGAGATGCTTTAAGTTTCTACAAAAATGAGGAGTATTTCTCCTCACCTAATCCCCTCCTCTTCCCTCTTGAGATCACTGGGGTAGATGGTGTCAGAGTCCGATCCGCTACTGCCCGAAGACCTCCCACTCCTCTTTTTGTGCTTTTTCTTCTTTCTCCTCTTTTTTTCACTCTTCTTTTTCTTCTTCTTTGGAGGCCCATCTCCCTTCCCTCTGCCTTCCCCATCAGAGCATGTAACATCCTTCCCAACGCTGAGTTAAAAACAGAAACACCAACTGAAAATGGGATCACTCAAATGTTCTACAGCATTTGCAGAACCTCATGCAGCTGTCAGTCATACATGCTGCTGTAGATAGATCACTCCTACCTTTCCTCCCTTTGGTTTGGCTTTTCTAAAAAGCGACTGTGAAGGGAAAGAGCACTTTCAGCCTGAAAACTCTTATTGTTCAGCCAGTCTAATTCTGGAGGGAAAACACACAATCAAATTTATTACACAATCATAATTATTATTTACATTATTATTATCATTATTGCCTGATTAGAAACGTGAACTGCTTTCAGCTGTGATCGAATGAGAGGTGACGTTAGAGACCGTTGCAGATGTTTAGTCTTAACAAACTGATGAGCTCAGTTTTCTTTCAGGCAAAAAGACAAAGGGACGTTCACTCGAACGCACTAAAACGTAAAACACGCGTAACATGGACCGACGGGTCGCCACCTTTCGACGAATCTTCAACTTTGTTTCCCGACCCTTCAGCAAACGCCGGAAAAAGAGCCATGGTGCCGTCGCACAGACGCTGGATGTAAACAGTCGCAGGAGTATGACGTCACGCGGCGGTCGTTTCACTGCAGAAGCGAAAATAAATACACAGAACACAAAATGATACAAATGCGTCGAAAACGTAGAATATACGATTAACATCGATTTAATGACGAGATCACAATGTAAGCTAAAAATAGTCAACAAAATAAAACATAGACCAAAATAAAAAATAAAAAAGATGTTGTCAAAAATACATATATTTTATCTCATATTCTTTAAGTTGATTTTTCTTTTCTTTTTTTTTTACATGCACATTTATTTTTATATATTTGTCATCACTAAAAATTTAAACAATCACAGTTGCGTTTTAAACATTTTTTGCTTTTTAATGAAGCCAGTAAAACGCCAGACATCCCCTTATGGACTTATTTTCCCAGTCATCTTTTGTTGTTTAATCTGTTGTTGATTCTGCTTTTACTATTAATTTGTTCTTGATCAGGTTTTCATAATGGAGCGCACGCTAATCTTCTTGAATATTTTTAAAGAAAGTTTTTACCTGTGTGCTGTTTTTATTTGGTTGCTCATCATTTTTCAGTGGAGCTGTGAAAGTTTTATTTATTTATTTATGTAACTCTTCCAGTAAGACCAGACTGACATTGACTGTTCACATGACCTGTTACTTTTACTTTTAGTTGACAAGTTAGTCCATCTTTTGAGGTTTAATAATTTTCTGTCTGTAATGTATTTAGGGGAGTTTCATGGATTATACTTCATGGCTCACTTACAGCTTCGTTCAAAGATTTTAAGCAGTTTTTGTAAACATTTATTCTGTGCTGTGGTTTGGTACTTTTGTCACTCAAAGGAGCATAACCATGTACTCAGAATTTCATTGGATCTAATGTATTCTTCTAGACCAACAAATCTGCTTGTTTACAGCTGCATAATGCTCAGTCTTTTGCAAGATGATTAGCAAATTTTCTGATAAAGGACCTGAAAACCTGCTTTTTTAGATGGATGTGCCACTAGTTAAGACTTCATTCCGCTCCATGCATTTGTAGATTTCCTATGGATATAAAAAACTAAAGTAAATCAAATTAAGCACTGAGGAAAATGATCTTGGCTCAGAAATGTGGTGGACAGATTTTTAGTTTGCAATGCCATATCCATCCATGTTCCTTCTTCTTCTTCTTTCTCTAGATTTTTAAATTCAGAAAAAATATTTTGTGTTTATTCTTCAGAAAATGTACATTACTGCACTGGAAACCCATCTGAGAATTTTTTTAATTTGTTGAAAAGTAGGAACCTTCCAGTTAAGAGTAAACATAATGTGTGTATTGCCTAGACTGAGGCCTGACTATATATGTTCAGTGTTCCTCATGTGGACAGCAAATTCAGCACTGAAGACACCAGTTTGCTTATCAAATTATTAGTCAATCCAACAAAAGGGTGAAAGCACAAATTCCCTGGTTAATTAGCTTAAAGGTTCAAAACACACAGAATATCTTTCAACAGTTCTTTAATATTTTTATGGTACTAGCCACAGATATTGATTGTAATCTGTTAGCATGTTTTGTTATTTCTTAGCATCACAGCTTTCTGTGTCTGAAACAAATTAAACTCTTTGGGGCTTCAGTTGTAATGAGTTCACAAACAGATGCAAAGACATTTGATGACAGAAACATTTACAGGAAAGGTGGATGTCTGTAATTTATGAACAGGAACTGAACATTGCATATTGAATATGAAAATGGAAAGAGCTCAATGTTGTCACTGAACTAAATCTTGCGAATAAAAGTACACAGTCAACTAAAACAGCCAATTAACAATGTTAGCTATGAAAGGCCACAAGGAGCTTAAAAGAGAACAGAATAGGATGTGAGAATGAAAAAGAGGCACTAAGAAAAAGTGTTGCCCATTTCTAACTATTGACATGTGTATCTTTTCTGTGCTGAATCATATCAGGAATTAATTCCATTTGAAATAACAAGTGTCCTTGAGGAAGATTCAAAGTTTCTCCAGAGAAAGCACTGAAACAAAGAGAGCCAACAGCTCTTCATTATATATATAATCTAAAAATAAAACATCCAAACAGTGGAATAACAGCAAAACACACTTAAAATGTCCATGAAATGTTGGTCTCTTCTGTCACACGGACGACTGAGAGAGTCCCTCGGCTGCAGCTGATTGCTCGTGTTCCTGCTGAACCTCCCTGACTGCCAAGATGCGAGTGAGCATGCTCTGGAGGGTGGAGGCGTCCAGCGGCTGGGACGAGTACCAGGAGGAGCTGCTGATGACAGATGCAGGAGTTATTTATTTAAAAAAAAAAAACACTTTCTTTTAAACTTTTTTGTATGATCAAACTGTCTGGGAACATTTCACCAACTGCTTCTCAATCCGTAACCTGGGAGTGTTTGATTTTTCTAAAGAGGCAGTTGCATGCTAGATGACATTTCTCAACTGACTAAAGCTATTTTTAATTTGTTAAGCACATTTGAGAGTCTGAAAAGTTTTAGCGAGTGATGCATGACTTCTGTTTTTCTTGAGGTACAAATGTGTTGTCTTCAAAATAGAAAAGACAACGACACATTAGATCAAATAAGGCAGAAATTATAGAAATACTTCCCTCCCAGGGTTTGACATCAGAGGAACCTTCGCGTCTGTGTTTAGTTTCTTGTCTGCAGAGCTGCATAAAAGACAATTTCCTCACCCTGACCTGCTTGTGTGGACGTTCCTTTGAGGCCGGAGGTAAAACGAGCTGCTTTGATTCTTTACAGACTCTGGGCTGTAGGAGGTCAAGAGGACAAACCTAAGATGCATTGACTTTAAACAGAAGCATGTGTGTCTGTGTGCCTCTGTGGGGACTCACCATCTGGAGAGGTAGAACTCATAGAGTCGGACGGGACACTGCAGGGGGTTGGCTGCGTTTTCCCACATCTCTCCGTTGCTCCCTACCTGATGCTCTGGAAGCAAGATGAGGTACGCCACATTTTAAAATACATACAAAGTTATTTCTTATTTTTCCAAGCAGGCAGACTTTCTCTGTAAAAGCACCCCTAGGCTTCCTGGTCGTTCTAAAGGATATTTTTTTGGCATTGTAACACAGTTTTGGTCCCGTTAATAGTTATTATATAGGACTGGATTAGTTTCAGCTATAAGAAATAATTTGAAAAAGCTACAAAAAGTTGCTTTTCGAGGCGCCACCTTTCTGCTCAGAGCCAGATGTCTCTGTGCTGCTTCTCTCGTACTGGAGGTAAACATTTCTGGCTGTGCCTTGGGGTTTTAAGCGCCGGGTGAAGTTGGAGAAAGACAGACGTTGGTGCTCTGCCAGCGTGGTGAGGCGGAGGTGCTTGGTGCAGAAGAAGAGCAGCGTGTTGAGCAGCACTATGGGTGAGTAGGCACCCAGCTGCTTGCACTCCCACAGGTAAGACTCTTCGATGCGAGAGGGAACGATCCCACCTGAGGGAGGAAATGGGAAAGTTGGGAAAATCAGGGAAAACCTGAGTTCTGATTGAGTTAAGATGGCCAACTGAAAGCTTGACTTCAGTGATGTACCATTTGGTTGCAGCTTTGGTTTCCAAAGTTGAAGCATCCTGCTGAGCTCGCTGCCAAACTGACTGTAAACCTCATCTGTGAAAATGTTTTCTATCCGCCCCCGCAGGAACAGATGCTGTTCACAGAGAAGACGAACGAGATCAGAAAACTCTGAATAAACCAAACTGGAAACCAGCGTGATGTTTGTGCACCTGTTGGATTCCCAGACAGAGGTAGAAGATGCTGTCCGGGCTGTAGGGCTCTCCGTTCGGCCGCCGGACCTCTCTGATGAAACGGGTCAGAGCGAAGCTCAGCTCAGCGGAGCTGCACTGAACGATGTCCTCTTTGAAAACCACTCGACTGGCTGTGGAGGCAAAAGAATAAAATGCTAATCAGAGCAGGTTGCAGAAATTCAAGAAAATGAACGACAATGTTGCCTCACATTGTGTTGGCTGCTTGTTGCTCTGTCGGATCCAGCTCGACCAGGCTTTGACCCCGTACAGATGGTTCAGCTTGGAGGGGGCAGGTGTTCCTGAAACTCTTCGATCAACAGAACTTGTTCGCCTTCGACCCTGGATGGACAGATGGTGAGAGCTGTAGCTCAAAACAACCATCTAAGAATGATGAGTACCAAGTACAAAATAACCCAAAATAATCACTGGCTGAAGTACATATTGTCACTGTATTTGTAATATTGTCCTCATAAGCACAGTTGCAAAACTATGCTTCTGAAACAAACATAAGGGTAAACTATAATCTACTTAAAAACTTCTAATTTTGCTTTACTTTTTTATTTAAAAAAAAAACTTTTAACTTTTTAGTTTTGTCCTGGTTTTGTTTGACTTGAGCTTCTCTTATCTTTAAATTTTAGAACACTGGTCTGTCAGAAAGCGTTGTACCCGTTTCCTGCCGTAGGAACCTTCTCTGCGTCTCTTAACTCCTCGCTGTTGAACAGACCAGTTCTGATTCAACAATCCTGTCAAAACAAATAAAAAAACACCTCTCAAGCATCTGTGTTTTTATCAGTTATATTTCTTATAACCATAAATGACAGTGCACCAGGCTGGAGGTCAGCTTCCACATCCATCTCAGGAGAGGAGGGATGATCTTTCCTTCTGCTGCTGCTGCTGGGAGGATGACTGATGACAGCTGTACCCGTCTCTGGTTGGTCATCAGTCTCATGATCTGCTGCTTCTGTGCTCCTCACTGAGCTATTAGTCTGAAGCACTTCAGTCTGAGCTGCTGTCTCTTCATTTTGCTTTATTGGACTGACGACTTTAGTCTTAACATCCCCAGAATGACAGGAACAGCACTGATCTACAGCAAAGAACACACAAACCCAGGAAGCAGAAGAAAGAAGAAGATTTTTACTCCTGGACCTGAATTACGACTGAAGAATCTGAAGCAAAACATCATAAATAAAACTTCTTCCTGGTTTTACCATAGGTTTTTTGTTGATGAAATGCAAATATCAGGAGTGAGGTAAGGCGGTTTTGATTTTATTTTGAGAGGGGCTTTGGTTCCATTGTCTTTTTGCTTCATTTTAAGACGTCTAAATTAAAATGATTTATTGAAGAAGGCACAATTTAAATCCTCCTGACGATCATAACTGATCCCAATAGGGATTTTTTTTTTCTTCTGAAATTGTTACCTATACTGGAAGAAGATTTTTTTTCTTTTTCTTTTTCTTCCTCCTCTTCATCAAGCTTTTCCATCTGGACAGCTGCATCTTTTACATCCTTGGTCGGAGGCTTGACAACAATCGGCACTGGGATCTGGAAAACAGGAAACTTCCAGCTCCAGCGACTCCCAATGTAAACCATTTATTCCCATTTCATACAAAGTGAACTGGCACATACCGGCATGGGTACCACCATGGCAACAGGCGTGTGCTGGGAGTACATGTTCATAGGCACTGGGACAAAGACTGGTACTGGTACTGGAACCATGAACACCTTTATGTTTTCCTCCTTGTCTGCAGCTGAGGTAATGATGGGTACAGGGAGAAAGAGGAAGGTTAGAGTTTCTTGTGTTGATTGATTTAATCTTAATCTAATTTAGACCTTCTGTTGTGTTTTAAGTGTTTCTGAAACACTTACAACACAAAGAAATACATTGGAATACATTTACTTTCAGCATATTGTAAGGAACAGTAGCGGTTCTAGACCAATTTCATCAATCCATGATTTTTTTTATGGTTGCAAAATATAAAATGAAACAACAAAAAGCTGGAGGTTGAAGATCCTTGATCTATCAGATAAAAACTGTGATCCTAATGCAATTTGGATAAAAGCTACAAGAGCAGCCTTAATTAATTTTAATTAATTGTTACAGTAAACATTTGTAAGTAAATTATAAAACTGGTTAGAGACAAAGTTGTTACAATTTGTGTGCCATTAGAAATTATCACAAGAAACTGATGCAATATAATCTTTTTTAATATGAGGGCCAGTTTCAGATCCTTTAAAAAAAAAAAAAAAAAAAACCCAGTCCTTTTATATACTGTTTAAAACGTTGCAAAGATATAGATTTCTCTATTTTGTAATATTCTTTTGACCAATAAAGCTTTATAAAAATATGTTGGTTTTTCAAAATAAACTGAAGATGGTCTGTTTTAGATTATTACATAATGTTGCACACAATTAGTGGCTTTTAATTTCTGCATGGCTTCAAGTTCCCTTCGATAAACCAAAGTGCAATTCTAACATTAAGCCAGCAGATGTCGACATTTATACACGCGTCTGCTGAGCAACAGCTAGAAATGTTTGTAGGTCAGAGATCCTGAACATAAAACTAACTTTTGACTATTTGATGATATTTAATGCCACAAAATAACTGAAAATAACAAATATCTTCTGTGGATCATCCAACAAGTATAACTGGACAAAAAACAGAGAACTGAGAAGTCTTATTTTTTTTCCAAAAAACATTTAATGAGACTGTTTTCTTTTAACAGACCACTTATTTAAAATTCACTTGGTAAAAATCCTAATAAGACAAAGAAAACTTTATCATTGTAAAACAAAGCTGGAGTCGACTCCGATGCATCAGTGGTGAAGTGTTGCAAGGACGTCACTGTAACTTCAACAGTCATAGTGTAACAGAAACAGCTGAACAGGTGATTCAAAATTACAGGCGACAGTCAAGTGTTTGATACAAAACTTCACACTGCTTACTTCCAGCTCAAGTCACATTATCCTGGCAACAGTGTTTTATTTTGATTTAAATGTGATGCTTACAGACGTCGAGTTGGATTCATTCATAACTGAAAACATGATGATGGATTAAGAAGTTTGCATCCACAAATCCATGAACGTCATTTTCTCTAAAAGCTCACCATGAATTAGTGTTTCAATGACAGGACACCAATTTAATACTGAAATATTTCTTAGAAAATAAACAAAGAAAATGAGGAGGAAAAAAACAAAACCAATAAAAAGATGAAGTTTTGCACTTGATCTTCAAAGGAAATTTTGAAATAAAAATTCATGCTGTAAAAGGATGAAATGTGACGAGTAAAAGTTGACGATGCCCTGTGACTTTAATGACATGTCGATGTATTCTGACACAAATATCAATGAGGTAATATTTTATTAGATCTTACAGTGGGCTCTGAGAATCCGAGAAGCCCTTCAAGTATTTCATCCTCAACCAGTAAAAGCAACATTAACACAAAGAAGACCTGTAGTACTACAGCAAATCATAGAAATCCTGTCCAAGCCGAGTGGAAATTAAATACTGCAAACCTCGGATAATATACAGGGTTCCTACACGACTTCAAATACAAATAAACACAAATGTTGAGATTTTGTGCACTCTACATAGTTTCAGGCTTATTGGCAGTGTGCAGTAAAAGAACAATAAAGGCTTCAAAGCTGTGTGGAAAAATCAATTTCTTTAATTTATCCACAGCAATTTCTTGTGTACCCTTACTTTCAATCTCAAAGCCCCATATTATATGAATGGAAATAATTTTTTATTCACATCACATATTGAGAAAAAATATGTGTTTGGTACTGATTAAAAGTTTAGCTTGCCATCTTAAGATGAGAGCTCAAGATAATTATGTTCAGCTGATAAGTTTTTTTATATCAGAATACAAAGTTGTGCTCATCCATGTGAATAATTTTAATATAAATATGCATTGCTATGGCAGGCCCCAAAAGTACGTCATAAAGGGGAAGAACAAAAAAAATAAAAACATAGTAAAATGAAGATGGAGAAAAAGACTTATGTAATTTTCTAGGAAAAGAAGTTGAAGAGTTTCAACATGTATTCTGGACTAGCTATGCAAACTTTGATGTCATTATTTTGAGATAAGCAGAGTTCAATTTAAACTGAATTATTTACTTGTCTTGATAATTAAATCATTATCTAGGAATAAAGAACTGGTTTCTTTTTAAATGAAACCAGTTCAATTAGATCCTTAATATTTTGGCTCAGATTGTCATGCAAGAGTTTTTATTATATTATTCTCAAAATAGCATAATCTTGAAACATTTGGCGCAAAATGTTTCATCATCTTATCTTCAGTTGTTTTGTAGAGCTAACAGTTAAATTAATTTGAGTTGAAGTCTCTGACTGTTTTGTTGCATCTTTATCTCAAATTCAGTTCCCAAACTTTCTGGCAAATACAGCCAGTCTCATTCTTAGGATAACATGAGTGAGCCTTTTTAAAAATTAAATAACATCTCACTATCTCGACACATCAAACCATCAACTTTAGAGATATTTGCTTATGATCTTGCTTATTCATCTTGAAAATATCCTTCAAAGACTAATATTTTTTTCCCTTAATTATACCCAAGAGTTGTGACAATAATGAATAATAAAAATAAAAATAACTACTTCTTTCGGGTGCAATCCCTATGTTATATGAAGAAATTATTTTTTAATAATCAATAGACTACAAGCCCATGATGCTGAGACAAATCCTACCAAAATGATTAAAGTAGTTCACATGTAAATGACTTCAAAACGTCCATTATGTGATCGGTTTAATAATTACTCTACTTTTTATGAGTGAATTTGTTGGGCAAAGTGAGATTTTTATGAGACAGTATATGGAGAGGAGTCTGCAAACACGTTTCCTTTTTCCACACAAAATGTCTACAGTTTTATTTTGTCCACATCAATCAAGGTTTTAAATTCCAATCTATATTTTTCAACATTGTAGGAACCCTGTAATTACAAAGAAAATACAAGATCTGTTTTCCAATTGAGTGAGAGACGCTCGCAGCATGGTTTGGGATTGGCACAGACTGCGTAGTGTGAGACTGAACAGGAAGATTTAAAGCTGCAGTTTGTTTTTTTGTCTGTGTCTGCAGCCAGAGATGGGAGATGGCTTCTCAAAACAGCAGATCAGGAAGCTGGAGAGAGAAAAACCGGGTGACAAACTCGACCCTCAAAGGAAGTCAACATGTACTTCAACAATTCAAGACAGCATATAAAAACATTAAACTGCATCAGTAAGCATAAAAACAGGTTTATTGGTATGAATTAAGTGTTTCTGTTACTCGAGAGGCTCACCTGGTGCTTCGTAGTTAAGTTTTGTGTGGTAAAGTTCAAAACAAGGCACAGGACAGAGGCTGGGCTCCTCAGTACATGTCTTACAGTAAAACGGTGTCTGTCTCTTCATTGTGCCACACTCTATTGCAGACTCTGCGTCCTTCTCTTCCTCTTTCTCCTCATTTTTCTCCTCGCTGACAGAAATTTCCTGCTCCTTCTCTGGCTCATTTTTACCATCCTCCATCTTTTGCTTCTTCTGTCCAGCCTCTCCTTCATCCAGCTTCCTCTTCCTCCTCTGGGAGCACACCTTGCAGCTGGAATCCGTCTCCTTTCTACCCAGGAAATGGCGCCCGGTTAGTCGAGCTGGCGTGAGGTTGCTTGGCTCCGTTTCCTCCTGGATTTTTGGAGATCGCAGCGGCGATCTGGATGGTTGGTCGGACTGCGAGGAGCTATCTAGCAGAGCTGGTGCAATTGTTAAGAAAACTATTTAAATAAATCCCAGAAGAAGAACATTCAATAAAACATCTAAGATGTGACAAAAGCTTGTTTTGGGGGTATTAGTCCAGATGATTCTCAATGAAAAACTTCCTTAAATTTTTAAACAAGTTTTTACACAGCAGTCAGAGCGACCTGAGTTTAGAGAATCAAGAAGGAATTCACACAGTTGGAGGAAAAAATTATAATTTTAAATTTTTAACAAAAGTACAAATTTCATATTTGTATTTTGTCATTTTTATCTCCTCACTGAGATCACTGACTGCTGTAAAGAGCAAGAAGAATATTGACTGCTAAGAACTACTTTGCAGAATCTCACTTCAGGTGAAAAAAAAATGAGAAAATGCGAAAGTTTAGTTTGTAAATTTCTCAACATAAACAATCTAAACATTTCATATTAGACCTACTATATACCCACACTGCAAAATGAGTGTGAAGCTGAGTGTTCATTCAGAATAAATTGCAGGACAAAAGCCAATTTTAGATGTGAAACAGCAGAAATTCATCCTCTTATATATTCCATTACGTTCATCATAACATATTGACATGCAAAAGTGATAAGATTGGCATCTTTCATTTGCTAGCTGCACAAGACTATAAATAAAATATTTATAACTAATGTACTTTAGGAGTACATTAGTCTCCTTTGAAGCATTCTGGCTTGCAGCAAGCCGAAAACAGTGAAAGGTGTTTCATGTAGTTACCTTCTAGTTCAGGGGAAGGTGAAGGCAGCTGGCACATGATTTCCTGGTCCATGGTGAAAGGTCGGCACAGAACAGATTTGTTTTTCATCTGACGGCGACGGGGCGCGGGCGCTCGCATGGCATCAGTCTGAGTACTGGCCTGCAGGATGCACAGATTTGATCTGATTATTTCTTAGAAATATGTTTTCTCTAATCAGGTAAATAACAGTTAGAACCTCAGCAGTTTAAAAAGGACAAAAATCCTTTTTAAAATCTTGTTTAAATTATATTTAATATGTAATCAGTTTGAACTGTATTTTAAAAAGAAATGTTCGTACATGATCGAGGTTCTTTCCATCTATGCTGGAGGTTGGAAGCTCTCCTGCAAAATCAAGACAAAAACATAATGAGAAACGCAACAAAAACTGAAATAAAACAGCAATAACAGAAGGTCTAAATTAGCTCAGAAGTGTGCGTGGAAGAGTTTTAAAGGGGAAAACACGACTGAAAATGGAATAAAAATAAATAAAACCAGTTTAACAAAAATGAAACAAAGAATTGAACTAGGAAATTTCATAAGTAATTTAAACAGGGCCTGCAAACGTGTGCCCATCAGTTGGAACCCAGCATAGCATGCGCAGATTCACAACCATGTTGAGTAACGTGGACTTACTCCATTCAGTATGTTAAAATTAGTCTACAAGCTAAAGTTAGCCAAAATGCTAGTGTTAGCCAAAACGCTGCCAGTGACATGTGGGGCATCACATTGACTTCCTCCAGGTCAGAGTGCTAATCATGATTGATAAATAAACAAAAACAGCTAAAGAGCTTATTTTAGAGCAAAGGCACTGCCTGCTAATGTTTGTACTAATGTTAATGCACTGCCCTCTCATTTTTACTTTGTAGCACTTGTTTACCAGAAAACCGCTCATCTCTTAGCAACAGATTGACAACAAATATTGTTATTGTTCAAAAAATTCTATCTGCTTTGAATCTAACTGACAAAAACAATGTCTGTTAGATTTTGCTTTGATTTGAATTTGGTTTGGTTTTTGCTACTTACGTGGTCATGGTCACTTGAAATGCCAACAAAGCAATAGCACCCATCACAGGGTCGAGCCAAACATTTTGAAATATATAATGTGAGGGAACGCGCAACAGAATGAGCTGCATTAACGGTGAAAGGAAACAACAGTTATTTTGAGGTGTAGAGTAATAGGTGCCTTCCATGCATTGCATGGAGGCATTGAAACGCCTTGCTTTGCTTTGCTCTCCTATGCAGTGCTAGGGAAGGCCCCAAAAGTACTTTATAAAGTGGGAAGAACAAAAAAAGAAAAACGTAGTAAAATGCTGCTGGAGAAAAAGACTTATGTAATTTTCTAGGGAAAAAAGTGAAGCTGAATCAAGAGTTTCAACATGTATTCTGGACTAGCTACGTAAACTTAAGATGCAGAAATTTCAGGATGTATGTGGTAGAAACTAACCGGTCAGCGCTGTACCTGCCGACCCGCTGGGCTGGGAGGCCGAGCCGTTGGCTAAAGAGACGACATCTGCAATGACAGGATTCATCTTCGAGGGGTGATGAGGCTGCGCTGGAGCTGGACATACATTTAAATTGAAAGATTGTCTTACTGAAGCAGCAGGCAACTGGATAAGAAATTTAGATTTTAAATAACTTGCTACCAGATGGCACTGGTGGGGCGGAGGCCATGCCGTTGCTGGTGTGCTGGGTCGTCTCAAAATGAAGGCAGCAGTACTGCAACAGGCAGGCCATGTTGCAGAAGTTGCAGACTGAACCCAGGCACTGCAGTTTCTCGCTCATGTAGCCCTGCTTCCTGCAGCTGTCGCACCGACCCATCTGGGCAGAGGAACAATGGGAGAATAAAACATCAGCTTTGATCACACTGGGATATAAACCGAGGGGAGCCAACACACCCTGACCCAGAGCTGCAGATCTGACTTCGTCCATATGTTCTGTGGACGAAGTCAGTTCAAGCTTTTCAGATCTGATGTATAACTACGAAAAATAAAAAAATTCTCACTCAAAGCATAATAAAACTAAAATTGATTTATTTTTTTAATGAATTTTTCCAGCGCTGCACAAATATCTGAAAATGAACCAAATATGAATCACAGAATAGTAAAACCTTATTTATTCTGCTTCACTGTGAAAATATAACAGATGGCAAACTTGATAAATTACATTGTATACATTATTCTAGACAATATTAAATTTATGACCAGATTGGACTGTGTGCATGACTTTAAACTGTTGCTAGGATTAAAATGAATAGCATTTTTGGATTATGAAAATGTATTCAACCAATTTAACCTGTTAACTGCCCTAAAAAACATTTTATCCACAATTTATTAATATGATATAAATAAAGTGATTATATGTAAGTGACACAGCTCCAGAAATAAACAAAAATTTTATTTATTTTTTAAAAATGACCAAATTCAATTCTTGTGCTGCTTAGTGTAAAAGGTCTGACCTTTCTTCCTGTTTCTGCAGATAAGGGCTCCTATTCAGAATATTTACACACGAGTATAAAGTTTTTACTGAAATCTCCAAGGGAGGAATAACAGTTTTGTTTATACACACTAATCAGCGGAGGGGAAAAAGAAATCAACCTAAAAAGAAAGAATATTGATTTCTTACCCCGATATTTACATATTTTTTTTACATCCTTGATGTTCCTGAAAGGTAAATTATCCACAATGGATAACAGGAGATTCCACGTCTTTAAGACAGGTTTTTGTTTCCTTTTTCTGGGCATGAGCTGCTACAATGTTTTTTTTTGTTATTTGCTGAGTGAACATATTCTTATGGGACATCTGTCCTGTACTTACTCCGTAGTAGAGCACCGTGTACTGGGACATGCAGTGAGGTTTGCAGAACTCCTCGATCTTCCCTCCATAGTGACTGAGCATCATCTTCTGGCCAAGGCCACAGCAGTAGGAGCAAGGGCGCAGGGCGCGTTCCTGTTTGAAGAACTGCTTACAGTCTGGGGCGAAAGAAGGAAACGCCGTATTAACAGGATTAATGATCCTAAACTTGTCAGTGAATTTGTTAAACCTGCCGCAGCTGACCTGACTTCAGGATTCACTTTGTTTAGATCAAAATTTTACACTTTTCCAGATTCAAACCTTGAATCTGGAAAAGGTACGGAGGTACGGCGTTTCCGTACCTCGAAACGCCGTATTAGACTTTAAACAGATTCAGGCGGATCTTTTTATTGACAACTTTGTAAAAATGTAAACTTGCAAAAGCCAGAGATTATGAGAAAGGAGGAGGAATGTATTGATTTTGTCTTTAATTGATATGTGCATTTATTGTCTTATTTATTGTGATTTTTTTCTGATAAGAACTCTGATAAATTGTCTTGGCAAATTTGAATGAATGATAAAAATAACATCTACAATTATACTGTCAGTTTTTTAATACTTTTTTCTCCCATTTGTTACACAAGAGTGTAGATAAATATCAGTAAATTTGACTTTGCATCATAGAAAATGAAGAAATGCTTTTAGTTAGTATTTGTATTTTTAATATTTGTTGTGATAGATGCAAAATTCTCTAAGGCGCTAAAACACAGATCCAAATCAGCCACAAAATTCTGATCTGTAAAACCCTACTCTCCATTTTATATTATGAATATTTTCCAGTGTTTATTTTTTTAGCATGTTGAGTGAAGTAAATTTTTTGCATTACAGAAAATAAAACATTATCTTTTAACTTACATTCACTGCAAAAGAACACGTCCTGCTGACTGAAGTTGGCAACTTCATAAAGGACCTTTTCTTCTTTACAGTAGTCGCACACAGAGAGGACATTTTTCTGGGTGTTGTACTGATCACAGCACGATTTACTGCACAACAACAAAATACGACCCTGGAAGCGGACAAAAAAGCCGACATGAGAGGCATGAATGTTTGTCAGCAGGGGTTTCACAGATTGATAGAACAAAGTGAAGAGAGTGACTCAAATTTCCCACCTGGTGGGTGATTAGCAGCGGCTTGTTGCTGAACTGTTTGCTGCACTGATAGCAGGTCAGAGCAATGGCATCACTCAGCCCGTCCTCCAGCAGTTTGACAGGCTGCTCTAGGGGGGATCTGGCGTGAGCTTGTCCAGGAAGAGTAGGAGTGGACACGGCCGAATGCGGAGGCACTAGAGGGGGTACCGACGTGTAACTGGGGTGGTGTCCTGGGTATGGGACTGAAGATGAATAATCCTGAGGAATGGGGGGGACAGAGGTGGCCCCAGTTGCCCCATTGGCTGAGGTGGTGGGTCCCGGCTTTGGAGCATCCTTATTGGGAAGGTCCCTGAGAGACGAGGTTCCATTGGTAAGATCAGTCTGAGATGTGGGAGGAGATTTCTGTAAAATAATTGAACAAAAAAATTAATAAGAACATAATTAAACATTATATATATATATATATATATATATATATATATATATATATATATATATATATATATATATATATAGGGATGCAAATGATCAGTTAATGAATTATTGATCGACTAACAATTAATTGATAAGTGGCCATTTTCTCTTGCATCAATAGAATCTTTCCATAAATGAAGGGCTAAATATTTCACTTGTTGAATGTTTTTTTTTCTAAACAGAACCACATAAAGTCCAGTTTCCATCCCAAACTGTGTTGGGACTGTTTCTCTTTCCTGCTCTGGGATCTGTCCACCATTTTTGTTTCTTCATCAACTGGCTCCAGTTAAGGATGACCAGTGTTGCCCTCTGCTGGATGGAGGCCAAACTACAACACCAAAAGAGGTCTAGAAGCCTTGATTAGTTAATCAATTGGAACTAATTTTAATCTAACAAATCATTATTCAACAATTAATCATAGGTCTATTGTTTGAATTCTACATATTTAAATGATTTAATCTGGATTTTATAACTGAATATATGGCTGATGTTTTACCCTGAATGTGGTCACACAGGCTAAGGAACAGAAGCTGCGAATGGTGCCATCCACCATGGCGAGATGATACTGAGGAACTGCAGAAACTTTACACAGGCCGCAGGGGAATGAAGTACCTACAAAAACAGTTGAATTAAACATAAATTAAACTATCATGTTTTAATGCTAAGCCTTGAGCTTCAGTCTGCAGGACCAAACTAATAATGCTACATCCATGGCGTCGTACCTGTGAGGCTGTGGTTGGGAGGCCGACTCTGTTCCACACATATCGGAGAGCAGTACAGTTGAACTTTACCCTTGTGGTCACGCTCCATGATGGTAGAAGACACCACGGTGGTCTTATGACAGTTGGCACACTCTGTCGTCTTTCTGCAACTCTGCAGAAATAAATTGTTGCTCACAATTTTTCAGGGAGTCCTGATCATAAGATTTCTTTCTCTACCGACTTGATTTGAGAAAAACTGAAATTCAATCTAAAACAGCAATAGAAAGGGAAACGTCTACTTCAGTTCTTGTAACATACCTGTTTAAAGGTGCCAATGCAGGTGGAACTACAGAAGTTGAGCTGAGACTTTTCAATGGTCAGCATGTGACAGGAACCCGACTTGCTGCTGCAGTAAAGCCCACAGCCTTCGCAGCAGTTCAAGGCAAGTTGGCGCTGTTTGCGCCAGGCTAAGAAACAGTTGTCGCTGCATAGTCTGTGAAGTTTTCCTTGATAAGTGACTTCATGCTCAATCTGCTGCAGAAATAATGATCAAAGTCAAAAACACCAAAGGAGCTCGAGCTAAAAGGGACAAGAACAACGGCAAAGACATCTCAAGGACACAATCCATGCAATAAACTTTTGTTAAAGATAACTTGCATCATAGTCAAAAGCTAAACAGAAAAGCAAAAAAAAAAAAAAAAAAAAAAAAAAAAAAGAAAAAAAACACCATGCCTTGTTGGTGGATTTGCAGACGCCACAGAAGGGTTTTTCAGCTGGACGCTCCACTGGTTTTTCAGGTGGCTTCTCAGGCTTCCTCTCAGGTCGTTTATCAATTATTAATTTTTCGCCTTGTTTCTTCTTGTGTCTGTATACAGACAGGCAGAACTGGCCACAGAAGTGCATGAATGTGCTGTTTTCTGCTGGGACCGTGACCATGTCCCTTGGCTGAAGGATTTCCCTGCAAACAGAGCAGTGGGAAGAATAAATCCAGATCATCGGTTCTCCAACGCGGCACAGCTCTCAGGTGATACCAAGTTTGCTTCTAATTGGTCGAGAAGTGCTTCATGACGTTTCCTCCCCAGGAGCCACAGGCTTCAAGATACAAAATGAAGATCTCCACACTCCACATACAAAATGAAGTCCAGTTGTCTCTCAAAGAGGTAAAGCATCTCAATTTTGGACCAGTCAAGGCAGATTTCTGTTGCAATTGTTTTTGTGCTGAAAGCTGATCAATGAAGATGTTAAATAAAGATTCTAATGCTCCTGAATCATAATCAACTCTTTTTGTTTCGTCTCAGATTAAAGGTGGAAATCAAAGTAAAAACCAAATGTCTCTTTGACTTGAACATTTCCTGTGAATTTGAAGGGTTTAATTAGTGTAGTACTCGTTACTCAAAATTTTGCTAGTAAATTAATTTTCCCCATAGAAAGTAGATGAGACAATAAATATAATTCTTGGTTGGCAGTTATTGTTGATTTTTTTCCATATTATTTTTAGTTGAGTGAATTTTTGTGTCAATTCCAAATAAATCTTAGATCTTGAGAAAAGTTCAGAAATGTCATGATTGTTCTTTTTATGCTACACCTATTATTGGTAAATGAAGATTTATAAGTTCATAAACCCAAAGTTACTGGTAGATTTTATGACTGAGACCTTCAAAGTGACTACATATATGGTAGCTAAAAAAAGTAATGAAAAGCCTTGATGTGTTGCAGCCTACAGGAAGTTCTACCTGTTGCACTGGAAACATGCGCGACCCTTTGAGATTGGTGGAAGATGCCCGGTCAGACAGACTGTGGAGCAGAAGAGCTGAGTTGAGCCTTTTCTTTGGAAAGCTGTTTGGCCTTTCAGCAAAACCTAGAAAATATTAAGACAGCATGCTTTAAACACCCATCTCCTCCAAATCTACAAAACAGACCATAAGTAAAGAAAAAGCAAAGATGTAACAAAATCTATCACCTAACGTATGAACCCTGGCAAACTTTACCTTGGCGCAGCCGCTGCAGCGAACACTCCCAGGTACCGCAGGTGGAGGAGGGCGTGGAGGGAATGCGGTCAAAGTGGGTATTGGAGTCGGGACTGAAACTGCTGGTCTAACTGGGAGGGAAGCCACGGCCTGCAGGACGGCCCCTCTGCTGGGGATTAAAATATGCGTCGTGGTCGGGGCCGGAACAGCTGGAGGCACTTGGATTAATAAAAAGGAGGGGCGGGGGATACATTTTTTTTTTAAACTAAATATGTAACCGTTTGTTATTAATAACCAGTGAGTCTGACTATTGGTTCGGAATGAATTTGTGTTTTTTAAAATTTAACTAAGAACTCTTGATCTAAGATAAGAACAGAAATAACGCAGAAAGAAGACAAATTTCAAATTCAAGTGCTGGACAATAAATTACGTATTCCAACCAAGGAGGCTGAAACTTTTCTCAAATTAGCCACAGATGACTGAAATATTTTCAGAAATACAAGCATGAATGTAAGAGTCAAACAAAGTCACTTGTGCTATAAAAGTAGTGGAAAGAAAAAAAAAACAAGGTTCTAGCCTCCTCTTGTAAATTTTCAATGTAGCTATCGAGGTTTATGTAGAAGCTTTGACAGGCTAAAGACCGTCTTCAATTCCCGTTTTAAAAATTTTTTTTTTTGAAATTCCAAGAAAAAAGGAGTGAATTAGAGGCTGGATGTTCACGTAACACTGTCTGACCTATAATATGTGTTTTGTTGTACAGTGAAAAGAAAAAGCTTTTTTTCCATTAAATATTACCTCTGAAATGTTTTAATCATCAAATTATTTCAATCATAATCCCTTCAGCACTACCGCAGCCCACCTGAAGAATTTGCTCTTTCCACTCCTGTCTTTTCATATATCCTTTTATATTTTAACATCTGTGGTTTTGTGCTAACGACAGGCTTTCCTTGCCTGAGGCAAGTTGCAAAAAAAGCAGAGTGAACCATTTCTACATTCCCACCTGTGACAGCTGCAAATATGCAGCAATGTCACAGCAACACAAGGACAAACTGCAAGACTAACAGAAAGAGAGACGATGCTCCCCAGAGCCCTTGTACCAAACTACTACCCAATAAATACACAAGACAGACAAGTAAAACACGGTAAAAAAAAGTACAACATGGCTAAAGATAAATAGTGTAACAAAAGCTTTAGTCTTAGTCCGATTGGGGTCTTAATGACAACAATTTATTTTACCACCTTTTTCTTCGAGACTTGTCTTTTTGAATAATCAGCCCCGTTACTTTTAAAGTGAACAGTAAAGACACTCACTGGTAGAAGACGTGAAAGTGTTTCCTCCTCCTACAGAGAAGACAGAGCTGATCCTCAGCTCTTCCTGAAAACATCAAGAAAAAAAAAAAAAAAAGCAACATCTTTACACTCTTACTTGGTTTCTTGGTTTTATGTATCAGGACATTGAAAATGAAACCCAGCTCCACTCAAGAATAAACAAAAAATTTAATAGTGAGCAAGACCTGCAGAAAATAACAAAATATTCACCCTCAAAGGGAAGAGTTTGGTGACTGCTGTGCATATGCTCATAGGTGAGTTTAAAGACAAAAAACAACAGAATCTTTGGTAAATAATTTTGAAGTTATATTCCAAAGAAAAATCTGTGACTACTCAACCATGAATAGACTGTACTTTAAAAATGATCTAAACTGAACTTTCCTTACAATCTAAACTGAGACTTCACTAAATCTGCACCTACCTCTTGCTCCAGCTCCTCTTTGATTTGCTTAGTTGGGTTCTGAGGAAGCAAAGCAGCATCATAGCCTTCATCAATCGGCTCATCCTTTATGTTTATCTTGGGAGATGGCGGAGGATTACGGTCCTCCAATTGAGTGTTCCCTGATGTCTGAAAAAAATCCCCAACTTTTATGGATATCTGGCGCCTATTTGAAAGTGAAATTACTCCAAATTTTGTTTAATCCCTGACCTCTTCCTGTTGGCTGTCTTCCGTCTCCTCTGTCTGGTTCAGGCCCCCGTCAGCTAGCAATAAGGAGAGAAAGTGTGTAAACAAAGAGAGATGATAGCACACCATTATTTTACCACAACTAGCAACATAAGAGAAGTCCTTGGCCAATAACTGACTTCCTCCTTGTATTATCCACTATTACATGGTTGCTCAGTGGAACGAAGCAAAACAACTTTTTTTTTACTTGGTTTTAAGCTCATTGTTTGTGTCAAGATGACTTTCAAAATTTCCAGAGCTGTTTTGCCCATTTTCTAAAGTTTAAGTACCAAAGTCCACCACATGTACTTATGAAAGTGATTTTGTGTTTACATTTTGATGAGGAAGCACCAAAACCAGAGACAGGAAGGAGGTAAGTAGATCCACACAGTGAAGTGAATCTGCATGGCGGTGCTGATGACAGACGGAATGACATATGACTAGATAAGGGGTGCCAATTATGAAAAAAAGAAACAAAAAAAAAACAAACAAATCTGTTTTGATTAACATTTAATTTGAAGAAACTTACAGATTGAAAAGAATTCATCTCCAGCTCATTAGTCACCAACAAATCTTTAATTTACATTATAGCTGCTGGTAAGCATTTATCGTATTTTTAAAAATCAGTTTTAAGCAATGAGCTCCAAGTCAATGAGGCTGCAAGGCTTCCTTTCCATCACCTTAATCTTTAGATCCCTCAACAGATTCTTGATCAGATTCAAGCTGGGTTTTGAACCAACTGGGCTTCTTCAAAACATTAAGATCGCTTTCAATTAAATACAAAGATTTCTTTAAATCTGAATCTGTCAGTAGGCAGGGTGCCTTTGAGCTTAAATGTGTCAATGCCTGCACATGGATAGATGGACAGATGGCTAAACAAGCAGATTAAAGGATGGAACCTATGTTCATACAATAGGATAGTGAATAAAGTTTGCAAAAACAAATAGTTTTTCCACACTCTAATTTCCAGACATGAAGAGTACTTTAGTAGTTCATATATTGTTCCAGAAAGTGTTGGAGCATTGTATTTAACAGACTGGTGATCAATTTCTTTCTTAAGAAACGTTGTAGAGTTTTACCTTTGTCGTGCTCTGGGGTGTTGTCCTGGGAGGAGTGGGAGGTGTTGGCAGACTCGGTGCTCCCCTCATTCTCTTGCTCCTCCTCTTCAGCTTCAGGTTTTTGGTCGAAGGGGTTGCTCTGAGACGCACTGTTTTCCTGACCAAGCTGACGTATTTTGCTGGCCTTACCCACATCAACATCTTCTAGGGAGCCCATCGGCAGGGCATAGTGCCAGTCCTCCTCATCCTCCTCCTCAGGTCCATAAGAGGGAAGACCATCCAGTGCATCATCAAAAGCTGCTCCACCACTCCCTCCACCTCCTCTTTCTCTCCTCACAATATTAAATGAGGACGGCTTTTCAGAAGCGGACGAAGTGAGGGGAGGAAAACTTGTCTCTCCTGTCCCCTCATCCGTCTTTTTCTCTTGTCTGCTCGAGTTGCTATCTTCTTCAAGCGGCTGGCTTTCCCCTTGTTCTAAAGTTTCGTCCAGTCCCTTTGATTCTGGCTGACCGCCGCTCTTGGAGGAACCCACAGAACCTCTGGAGGAGTCTGCAAACTCTCCCAGCCCCATCACTTCATCGAACATTCGGGACATCTCCTCGTCGCGCTGAATAAAAAAAAAACACAACAGGGAAGAATCCCCTCAAGTTTTTAAATATAACTGATAAGCATTTAGAAATTTCTATCACTCAAACTAACAAGGTTTCCTCCAAATTGATGCTCAGTTTTTTTCATCTAAATTATGTTAATAAATTACTGCTGACTAGCTGAAACACACCCATAAGGTGGTATCTACACTTTAGTTCATCAATCTTCTCTAATCCAAACCGGGTCATTGAATGTTTGGACACACTCCACCAAGTATTAAGCATAATGGTGAGATATAATGGGGATGCACCATGGAGGTATTAGCATAATGCACAAAGTGGGTATAACTACATCATAACCATAACTTCAAATAAGCAGCTTGATGGTACCAATCAAAACTGCTTACGCAATATATAAAACCTTTACTTTAACCAAACTGAGAATTTGTAGACCACTTTTAACAAGCCAGACAATAACAGAAGACAAATTATGCTACAAGTTTGTTTATAACTACAAATAGCATGTGGTAACATGTGTAACTTCATAAAGGTACCCCTAATAAGGGGATTCCTTTATGAGCATTTCTGACCCTCTAGTTGTGGGATCCTCCCTAGTATAACATGGATCCAGGCCTAGTATGGTCCAGTTGTGTGCAAGAGGCGTGTCACCAACTCTTTAATACTAAGTAGTTAATCACCGTTTCATTCACTTTTAGATGTATAAATAGTCGCAAACGGACAACATTTGCTTAGGATAATTTAAAAAGACTGTGCAAATGTTACGGCTTCAGAAGTCACTGCGGGGAATTTAAAAAAACTGACTAAAATCTGCTATTTTTATTGTTCAGCAGTCCTTGGTCGTGTTTTGTAAGAAATGGAGGCAACTGCAACGCAAGCCTAAATGTGTGGGTTAGTACAGGACCTAAAGGTGTATAGAAAAACCAGCTGAACGCGGTGAATGTTTGCGTTTTCCATTTTTTCCCCCCTGAAACAAGATGCTAAGCAGGGCTATGTAGCGAGCTAGCCGATGCTAGCCGAAAAGGATCACCTCTCCACCGGAAGCTGAACCTAAACTACAAAGGTTAAAACGAAGCCTCGCTAATTAATACATTTAGCTGTACCCGTCTGCTGTGACCACGTATCATTTAATTTTCATACCTTTAAACGTTTGAGTCGAAATTCCTCCGACTCCGCCATGTTTTAATTATGCAGCAGACGCCGCGCTTCCAGATGCCCACCTCCTCTTTTTTCCTCCTCCTCCGCCTCAATGGTGCCACAAGACGGACCAACAAAAAATATGATGCATTTAATCAAGATTAGCTGCTCATTTAATTCTATAAATAATACACGCAACTATTAAACACCGAGTGTTTTATTTAGTGGCATTTTCAGAAAATACACAACTACTTTAACGTAAAAAAAAAAAAAAACGCTTTACCGTAACTCCCAGATTAAGTGCTTCTTTTCTATTTTTCTATTATTAGCGATGTAATAAATGACATTTTGCAATCAAAGTAATAAAAAGGCTTTCGGTTTTTTTTAAAGCCTTCTCCTGATACCCTTCTCCAGACTTCCCTCAAATGCCAACACTAGCTTATAATGAGGCCAACACAGTAACTTGCTGGATTAGAAGTTAGTGGTTTTTCCGACGGACCTCAAATGCAACATGAGGCCAGGCTGCTTTTGGGCTTTTCCTTCCCAGCTGTTTCTAGGACGTTTAAAACTTTCCTGTTTGATGAAACTTATATAGATTATCCTGAGATATCTCTGCTGGAGGACAACTTGACCTGTTCTTCACTCTGATATCTTATTCTTCTACTACTCTCGAATTAGCATAATTTGTTGTTATTTTAACTGTTAACTTGATGTTTTCTCAGTTTCTCTCTTCTCCCCACCTGGTCTGATGTATTTGGCTGTGGTACCTACTTAAAGCAGAGCATTTCCTGGGATAACGCTGCTCAACACTAAATGTTCTCCTTCGCCTGCTGTTACTTTTTATTTACATAGCAAGTGGACTTGCTGCATTGTTTGACAACTGGGATCAATTAGAATGTGTGTAGGTTGAATTGTTCCGCAAAATGCACTGAGACAATTCATAGCAATAATAATTACATTAGGTCTCATGTTCAGCAGTGCGCGAGCTCCACCAATCTATTTGTGTCGTCATTTTTAATAGGTAAAAAAACCGACTACAAATTGTTACGTGTATGTGGAATTATCTTAATTTAATTTCAATATAATCATCAAATCTGTTTTAACCAAACATTTGACAAATTTTGGTGCACACATATAACGTAGCACTTGGTAGTCGGTGTCGTTTGCCAGTTAGAAATGTGAGTACCAGAAGCTGCTCGAGCTCGATTGGTACGTATTCATTGGACCAGCGGTGGAAAGAAACTCTAGGGTGTCATAGTTCTGTGCTGAACGAGCCAAACCTTTAACCGGAAACTAAACACGGTTCAGGAAGCAAACCGCTGACATTTGTTGTCAACGGCCCTTCTTGCTGTCAGATAGTAAATACTTCACAGCACGTAGGGCGAAGGTGCGCATGAATGGCAATGATGGCAGTGAGAGCGGCGGCCTCGGCAGCGGGAACTCCGGCCTCCATGTCCCGCTTCAGGGGAGCGCTGGTGGCGGCTGTGCTGGGAGACTGCGTCGGTGGAGAGTTTGAAGGAGCGGAGGAGGTTCCGATGGAGTCCGTTCTGCAGCACCTGAGCGGCCTGGAAGATGAAACTAAAGGAAACGGTGAGTCCGTAAATGCGTTTAAAGATTATATTTTGGGAGACTGGGCTCAAGAAGCATTTTGTTTCCAGCAGCCTGTCACAATTTGTGTCTTTGAATCGCACAGCTTTAACAAGAGAAGCATGACATCACAGTGTTGTTTATTTGCTCTACATAGATTTTTAGGCAATACTTTTCTTAAATGTTCAATTTGATTATTTTGGATCTGTAGACACATCACCAAACAGCATGCATTTTGCTGCATTTAATCTTTAAAATGAGCAACAGATGCTTGATGTATTAATGGATTTATCAGTTGATTCCCAGTTGCTTTCAAAACCACTGTCTGCTGCTTCTGTTGCCTTTAAAGGACTAGCAATTGATTCAAGGACTCTTACACAATCATCCCACTTTTATGTTATAAATTGTCAAAGAGATGCTGTGAATAATTTAAAATGTGAATGTTACCACAGTTGGTATTAGTCACGAAAAGCCTGATCGTTGTGATCCTACGTTTTCAATCATTACTGCTCATCTCAGGTTTTCAGGAAGTTGGCTCCAAAGTTGAGAAGCCTAGCTTTTTACTATAGTAGCTCACAAATTCTAGTAAAATACATTGTTTGTAGTTTTGACATCAGAAAATGTGAAAAACCTTTAGGAGCATACCATATTTTTGCACAGCAGTTTAAGTTTCTGACCCTTCTGTCATTTTGAGCTTCAGTTAGTTTCCATTTTTACTTTTGCATGTAATAAAAATAAAATTACCTGTAACTCTTGAATAGGAGTGCTTCAAAACTTGAGCCTTGAGCAACGTGTTTAATCTGAGTTCTGCGTTTTAAAGGGGTCCTCGAGTACAGTGATGACACTGCGATGACGCGTTGTGTGGTCCAGTCTCTTCTGAACCGGTCTGGATACGATGAGCAGGACTTGGCCCGCAGGTAGACTGATGCCAACATTCCTGGTTATTTTAAGTCTAATATCAGAAAGTTTTAACCTACATTTTTCACACTTGTAGGTTTGCGAAGGAGTACAGTGCCTCCCCCGGCCGAGGTTATGGTTCTGGAGTGATCCAGGTGTTGAAGAAACTTGCCTCCCCCCAGCTTGTTGACGTTTACCAGCCAGCAAGGGATCAGTTTAACGGTCGGGGCTCGTTTGGAAACGGCGGGGCAATGAGAGCGGCCCCCTTCGCGCTGGCTTTTCCTAATTTGCTTGATGTTAAACGGGTCCGTGGTGACCCTGTGATGTTTAAAAACGGCAAAATCCCCAATGTAAATATGAGGTTGATCATCACTTCACAGTTTATTTTTCTTTGCAGTTTGCCCGTCTTGGTGCCATGCTGACACACTCCTGCTCTCTGGGTTACAACGGAGCTGTCCTGCAAGCATTGGCTGTTCATCTGTCCCTCCAGGGGGCGCTCAGCCTGCCTCAGCAGTTCATAAGTAGGCTGATAACAGAGATGGAAGAAGTGGAGGGTGAGGAGGAGGCTCTTCGTGATGCCAGAATGTGAGTTCCCAGTGAATAAGAGCTTCTCCAGAAAAAAAACACAATAGAAAATTTAGATTTTTGTCAAAAAAATCCAAAACTCTAAAGGTGGTCTCTCTGCAGTTTTCTGAATGTCTTGTATCTTTTCAGTCTAAAAGAAGCAGAAAAACCATTCTGCGAGCGTCTCCACAGAGTCAGAGACTTGATGGACAGAAATAAAGTGAGCATAGAGGAAGTCATCTCTGAACTCGGTCAGTAAACTTCCCCACTTTGTCATTTGAATTCATATTAGAACTTCTATCTGTGTGTGTTATTATTATTTTTTTCTTGAAAATTAAATAAACATCCAAGGATTATATTAGAGATTCGGATCAAGCACAGAAACCAGGTCCTGATGTTCTTAGATGAATAGAAAGTACAACTAGCTGCAGGAAAGTGGTTTAATTGAGTAATATGATCAATTATTTAAATCAGAAATGGCTTAAAAGAAACATAAATCTCTTTTTGAATGAAATGTGCTCAAATTCAAAGATGCAAAACAAACCATTTAAATTATGGTCAAAAGAGCGCTAGAACCTGTTAACAATGAACAAAGTACTCAGATGTTTTATTTAACTTTTCTATTTTCATTTATTGTTTCTTGGGGGTTTCATTTGTTTTTCTGACATTTTTAATATATTTTCTCATCTATACATTTATTATTTTTTACTATGCAGATATGTATTTATATGTTTTCGCCACCAGTAAACTTGATGGCAAGTTTGCTTCGATCAAGTTAATTTGTTATTCAACACAGAAAGTTTAGGTATATAAATATATATATATTTTTATTGCGGTCTGTTCAGCTGCAGTGCATTAATTAAACTGGTGGCTGTGGACAGGATTGGTTTGATTCATTTTACTTGTGAAGAATTTTTAACCCCCCCCCCCCCGTCCCCGCTGTTTTATGTCCAGGAAACGGTATTGCAGCGCTACACTCTGTCCCCACTGCCATCTTCTGCGTCCTCCACTGCCTTCAGCCCCGGGACTACCTTCCAAAGAACTATGGAGGCCTGGAGAGGACAATAGCATACAGTTTGGCCCTGGGAGGTGACACAGACACCATAGCCTGCATGGCCGGGGCCATCGCTGGGGCCCACTACGGCGTGGAGGCCGTTCCTCAGAGGTGGATGAGGTGCTGTGAGGGCGCGGAGGACGCTGACATGAATGCAGCACGGCTTCATGCGCTTTACCACCAGACGTCACAAGGGGGTAGAAGTGAGACAGAGAGCTGTGAGGACAAATCTGAGTCAAACGGGACTGAGAAGAAAAAGGACTGATGTCATCAAAGACGATTTCACTGTTTGGATCCAGCCAGTGTTAAGAACTGCTAAGTTGGTGTAGAGAAGTGCTTGTTTTTGAAACTGTCCACTTGTGGTTTGTCAAGAGACTCAATATAAAGGTGAGCAAGATCAAATAGAAACTTGAAATTCATATTGTAAGCTCATCTGTTTTAAGCTGAATAATTTTTAGTCACTACAAATTGTCAATCAATGTTTTTTCTCATTAGACGATTAGTAAATCTTTTAAAACTCTACATTTTTGAGTGTTTGATTTGAGCCAACTAGAAATTGTTTTACCTGAAAATAAACATAACTCAATGTAGTAGTTATTTAATGCCACATTAGCAATAACATCAGCTGTGTCAGAGCTAGACTCCTAATTGAAACCCATACAGTATCTGTGAGCCTTATTTTGAAACTCCAAGTTAAAACCTCTTCCTTTCACACCATTTAGAAAAATTAAAGAACTTGATATGCTGCTGAAGAGAGTTGCTGAATTTGCACAGGCTTCAGCCATGATGGATCGATACGAGACAGAAAGACCTACTGAGGAGCAAGCGGTTGCTATGGTGATTCCCGCTATTTCTGTGGCGCAGGGCATCATTCTTTTCATCAGAGAGGCAGACAGGAAGATGGTCCTCAATCTTACTGCAGCTGTTGGAAAACTATGAATTGCATCCAACAAATTTAATTGTAGGTCGAAACATTTGAAGGTTAAACAGCTAATTTGATCTTTCTTCACTGTTTTATGATGGAGATTAAAGAGACTTCTGCAGATGAGTATGAAGATAACTCTTGGCAAGAAAGTTGAGTCAAAATGTTTTTGAAAATGTCGATAAAAAGTGAGTGTTATTTCATTGGACTCTAACAGCCATTCTGCAGCAAAATCTGAAAAATAACTTTGAATATATGTGTGCACAAATGACAAGTTATTCAAATGGACAGACAGCTGAATGTTTCTGTAACTCAATCAAGGTTTGAATGTTGAAGTGCAGTGATAATAAAATAAAAGCCAACCAGACTTCAACAATCATCTTCCAAAGGTGTAATGATAATTTCAACTTTCTTTCCCATTTGATTCTTTCACCGTAATCTGAAAGATGCAGCTACAAATAGAAATAGATCATACTTCTCTGCCTTTATTGTTATTTTAACCAAATGAAGCACCTGCTGAGAATTAAAACAAATTATTGTAATGTTTGCTTTTGCAGTAACGAAAATGCACCAGCTTTTGAAAAATATCTGTAAGATTTCTTACCATATAAATTATTTAAAAAATGTTTTTCCAACACATACGTCTTTTAATTTAAATAAGTGCAAAAAGATAACGCATAACACATTACATAATTGATTGTCCGGTCAAACCAATTACATAATTGGCATCAGGAGCTTAATTTTGTGCAGATTACCTGCAGCAGCTTGAACTCAGAGGTTTTTCTCTGCTGGAGCGACTTCCAAGAACAGCTGCAGGAACGTTGTCACCTTATCAAACATTCCCGGGCAAAGCTTGAAATGGATGAAAGGTACGTAAACTATAGCACCACTGAGAATAAATAACGCCACATATAGATACTCGATTTGAGGTTGGTCTATGATGGGGCTCAGAACGAGGAAAATGGCCACAAGCAGGATCAGTATGGGGAGGACAATGGGAACCTGTGAGGAGAAGAAACAGGCATGTCGAGCTGTTGTGAATTGCTACAAATGTTAAAATGAGAGTGTGACACTGACGCTGTATGGTCTGGGGAGATCCGGTTTCTTTATTTTGAGATAGATCAGTCCAGACAGAGTGACGGCGTAGAAAAACCAGGCTGTGAAACTAACAACAGCAGTGAAAAGTCGTTTAAAATTGAGTGAAAATGGTTTTGTTTTACTTATTTAAGGGGAAAATGAGACGAAGTTCACCTGAAGTAGTTGACGATACTCTGAAAGTCTCCGGGGATGAGGACCACCAAAGAGATCACAGTGGTGAAGATGAGAGCCGGAGAGGGAGTCAGCCGGTGGACGTGAGCCATGGAGAGAATATCTGGCTAGAAAACAAACATGGATCCCTATAAATGTGTGTGACAACCTTTATTGTAAACAGATGTTTGTTTTTCGGTAAAGTAGACAGAAGGTACCATGTGGCCCTCTCTGGCAGCCACAAAGCAGACTCGACCCCCACTGAAGAAAGTCCCGTTTAAGGAGCCAAAAGCAGACAACGCCGCAGCCACCGACATGATCCAACCCCAGCTTCCCAATACCTTGTTCCTGACAGAGAGATGCTCCTGATCAAACTGGAATTTTATGCAGACTTAAAGACTCTGGCCAACCAGACTTGCTCTTACCCCCAGGTGACAGCTACAGCGGTGGAAGACATGAGCTCTCTAGGTGTCATCACCGTCAGGTAGCTAACATTCACCAGCAGGTACAAGCCAGTGACCAGAGAAATGGCTATCACCAGCGCTCTGGGAAGGTTTACCTGTGAAAATATGAAGCAAACATGCTACTGTTGACATTACTTTCTCAAACAGGTGTGTGAAGATAAAATGTCCTATTCGAAAACTTTCTACACAATACCTCCTCAAAAATAATTTGAATCTTTTAAAGTGGTCTTAGATTTTATATAAGGCTTTGTTAGGCTTTATGGTTAATAGACTGATCACTTGGACACTGACAGCAATGCAGGCATTCAGGATGTTGAGAAAGCAGGAAATGAACCACATATCCTGAGGATGTAGCTGAACTCCCCTCCGGATTCAGGGAGGACGGCCCCAAGTTCAATGTAGGACAGAGCAGCAAACAGAGCCACGGCTCCCGAGAGGGCCCAGATCACCAGACTCGCTCAGGGGCTTCCCATGTAGGCCAGAACAAACTGTGGGGACATGAATATCCTAGAAACAATCGTGGTATCCTGGATGAATGAATGAATGAATGAAATAGGATTGAATGTATCCTAGATGTATCTTAGCGGTCCAATCACCCGCTTCATTTTTCAGTCGTTATGCTTTTTTAGGTGCCATGACGAAAACTGGAATACCAAATCACTCCAACAGAAACCTCAAGAAGTCTGCAGACACAGAGAAGTCAGTAACTGGTCAGAGGGCAGCAAGTCAGAAGACCATATGATTAACTAAAGTGTGGTTGTAAATGTTTTTACATCCATCAGTCGATCATAAACTTTCATCATATAAGCTGCTGGGGTTGTTGTGTCAATAGTTGGGGGAGCTTTGGTTAATTAAACACCAGCTTTAACTCTTCTGTTATTTTAGCTCACTGGAATCAACACACAAAAATGGAAGGAAGTTTCAATACTTTGCGGTTTCATTTGGTCCAAGAAGCCAGACTTTCTTGAAATCTTTCTCAGGGTTTTCATGTTTTTCAAAGATTTTCATACGACTTTGGTAAAAGAACCAGACAGACATTGATGCAACTGAAAAGAAAATTTCCAGCCATTATAAGACCACAGGCCCTGACAGAAAGCAATGCCGATGGCTTTCATGCCTACATTTGTTCCATCAAAAGAATCCTCAAAGTTTGAAGTGTTGCCCTGAAAAAGCATCCCGGCTCCTCCCAGTATGATCACCACCAGCGTCAGTGCCTTAATGGATGCCGGTCCCAGCAATGAAGGACACGGCCCCCATTATCCCAACTTCCTCTTCAGACTCAGTCCTTGCTCCATTGTTGGCGAATGCTACAGTCTACTCCTGGGTATTTCCACCAAATCTTGGCATAGATTACCAGTGAACCATTAAGTAATGTTAAGCAGATCAAGAGATGGTTAAACTAATCTTGAATTGTTAAGAACGGAGTTCGACTTTGAAATCCCTTTGAGCTGCTTTCATTTGTTTGACTGTATTCGGCTGAGATTTAACAATGTGAAACTCGTGCAAATATTTAGTGCTCTTTCTCTCTCTTCTTACCTAATGAGACCAACTTCTTCAAATAAAACTAAGCCAAGTCAAATTTTAAAACACTATTTCTTGGCTGTGCTTTGAACCGTTTATTGATTGACCTGACCTGATTTTATTACTTCTTTAAACCACTGATAAACTATCTACAGAGGCTTGGTGTGACATGCAGAGTGCAGGGTCATGTAAAGAAAATTACTGTTTAAATTCAAAGGTCAAACTTAAGAGATACAACACATGGAAAACCCAGAATGGACATAAACATATTAGTTCCTCAGTGGTATTAATCTGCCAAAAGCAATAGACATTTTTTTAATAGGACTTAAATTGAGAAATTGGCAAAATGTGCTGATAAATAAATGAACTAGTGCTTAAATGATAGTCAGCAGAACTTCTGCAAAAGCAGTTTAAGTTGGAGCAAAGAAGAGTGTGTGAACACAAAGATATCAACCTGTCAGAAGCAGTGACTTCTGCCAATCATTTATCACTTAGAGAGAAGGATTAACAACAAACATTTAGGAAAGCTGCCCAACTTCTCAAAGGTTTGGAAAGAGGCCAGAGCACTCAGAAAGAAGAAAAACAACAACATGCATGCAGAGACAGAACAAGCAAACTCCAATCAGAAAGACACCAGGTGGGATACAAACCCAGGATCTTCTTGCTGCAAGACAACAGTGCTAATAGCTGCAACCAACTAAAATTATAATATGTAAAAAGTTTAATTTTTTGGCCTCTTGGCCAAGTCTATTAAGACCTGACCAAGAAGCACACCAATGTACTGTAAAAAATACTTCAAAATAAATGGTTCTGTGCATCAGTCTTAAATGAAGACAGAACAGGGTAAAAACTAAATAAAGGCTGCCCAGCAAAGCATTAAGATGGAAGCATGTTTTCCATTCTTGGGCTTTTCTTTTAACTGATTTTGGGTTTTTTTCTGTTTAAAAACATTTTTTAAGCTCAAACTACAGTTTTTAGTTAACAGTGTTGGTTAGGATAATAAGAGTATCATTGTAAAAACGGGACTAAAATTCATTCCATGATGATGTAAAAAGCTGGTAAGGTCAGAGTAAATAAAATACTGAAACTTATTGCTACTACAGATGGCACCGCAAGCTGTTTAATTATGCAGTGCACTTGAAGTTTACAATGCCGCATAAAGTTTATGAGTACTCTAGTGCAGATTTGAATTTTTGTTTCTAGGTTTGCCTGATTTATATTGTGACTTCTTACCTCTGGACGTTTGAGCTCCTCTGTCACATAGTTCAGATTGTTCCAGCCGTCATACGACCACAGTCCCTGGTAGAGAGCAATACCGATGGGATTGATGCCCACGTTTGAGTTCTCAAAAGAGTTTTGAAAACTTTCCGTGTTTCCTTTGGCAAGCATGACCATCCCTCCGACAACGATGACTCCCAAGGCCACCACCTTAGCCACCATAAAAAACACCTGCACTGACATTGAGAAGCGAACATTCATGCAGTTTACGATGGCTAACACCAAGATTGCTGCTGCAGCCACACATTTCACTGCAGACACTGGAGGTGGGCATTCCGGGTAGAACGGAACCACGACGTACTGCGCGAAGCTCAGGGCGATGCCTGCAACTCCAGCAGGCCTCACAAATAAGATAGAGCTGAAGGCCAACATGAAGGCCATGACTGGACCCGAGGTCCTGAGGATGTAGATGTACTCTCCTCCTGACTCCTGGATAACGGTTCCCAGTTCAGCATAGCAGAAAGACACCAGTATCACCAGTAAGCCACAGCTGGCCCACACCACCAGGCTGGCTCCAGAGCTGCCGATGGAGGAGATAACTGTCTGCGGGGACATGAAGATCCCAGATCCGATCATTGTTCCCGCAATCAGCGACACGGCTCCTATCAGCCCCACCTCTCGCTTCAGGCTGAGCTTCTGCTGCTTCTCGTCCATCTTCTGTGGCGGTTAGAGGCCATCTGCCGCGTGTCAGCGCCTGCAGCGGAGGAAAACTGTTATTTGATGACCAAAGTCACTCTTGAAGTTAATAATTATGTGTGCGGTTCATACAACATCTGAACAGGTGATGTCTTACCTAACAGCTTATCATTTTGAATGGATCGCTGCTGGCAATAATTATATTTCTTTATTGTGCTGTCTTTTTTTTTTTTACTCTTAATAACTATTGGTTTGGAAAGTCTATATCCTGCTTTGCGCAAGTGCTTCTGTTTTGTAATCTCAGAGATAGTTCAGCTTGTGCTTTGTCAGCTCTGGAAGGCCATTATTAACAAATGCAAAAGTGACATAAATTAGACAAACACTTATAAAACTATTCAATGCAACTGCAAAAATTAGAATTCTGTATTAAAAACAAAACCAACTAAGGCTTGTATTGTACAGCTTCCATTTTTCTAGTAGCAACAGGCTGTTTTTGGCAAATCAATAAAGTACTTTGAAGAATCTACAACTTACAGACCGATTTCCAGTCTGTAGGAAGGTTCAGATTAACTTTAAAGAACTTCGTAATGCATGACACAGGATGCTCTCCATCGCTTCCACATTGTGTCCCTACTAACTGGACACTTTTCAACACTGATTGGATACTTTTTGGGACAGCTGAGTTTCCTTTAACATAATGGTTGGGATAACTTTGTGGAACTGGCAACAATCTTTATGAAATATTCCGACTATAATTTTTGGACTAAAAGTTTACATCCCAGAGTTTACAGGTTAATTCTCTGGAGAATATAATTCTTAAGGAACTTAAAGCTTACTGTCATGTCCTCAACCTCCAACGCCTTGCCGGAGTCGACACTCAGCTAAACTCCTCTCCAAAGGAATCACACAGACTGGAGCGTTTGCGTTGAGTCTTTAATGAAGCCAGTTAGAGTAGGTGTAAAACTATGAAATAAATATACAAACTTAGAATAATACACAGCAGCGCCAATACAGCACTCACAAGTACACTCGGTCGCCACAACGAATATTAACATAAATCTTATACGTACCGACAGTGCTTTCTAGGACCAATTGTATAACAGTAGCCGTGTTACTGCGAAAGCCCATGCGTTGCGTTGTCCTGACCTGTCGGCTTTCTAATGACATCATTAACGCTCGACTCATAAATTTCACCAGTAGATGGCGACATTGAACGCTTAAATCTTATAACTTGTAGAATGTCAACTGACATAACATCACACTCCCCGTCTGAAACTACGAAGTTTCACATAACACAAAAATGCACAACCTTTACACTTGCGAAGCAATAAGCAAAACCACATCACATGCGGGTCTTAAGAACAGCTTAATACCATCTACCTTCGGTACTTTAATTTGAACTTTCCGAACAAGTCCATCTTTACTGGGGAACACCTCAGTAATGATGCCCATAGGCCAGACATTACGTTTCACCGCATTGTCTCTTAGGAGCACAACATCTCCTGGTTTCAAACTTCTGTGCTCAGATGTCCACTTCTTGCGAGGTTGCAGAGTAGATAAATACTGCTTGCGCCATCTGTCCCAGAAGGTGTCAGACAGACTTTGCACCCTGCGCCATTGCTGTCGGGACAAGTCCTTGTCCTCCAAGTCTCTCACAGGAGCTGGACAAGGTCCCACTTTCTGCGTCAACAAAGTGGCAGGTGTAAGGATGAATGGATCCATAGGATCGTAGGAGACAGGAATCAACGGTCTGTTGTTGACGATAGCTGCGACCTCTGCCATGAAGGTCACGAGCACCTCGTGCGTGAGTTTGGAAGTTCCCATCTGAAGGAACATTGAGTCCAAAATGCGGCGTGTGACACCAATCATCCGTTCCCACACTCCGCCCATGTGAGAAGAATGAGGGCTGTTGAAGGTCCAAGTGCAGTCGTGATCTGAAAGAAATCTCTGCACAGATGTTTCATCAATATTTGAGGGAATTCCTAGGACTTTTGAAGCCCCGACAAAGTTAGTTCCCCTGTCAGAGCGGATGTGCTTCACTGGTCCTCATGGCCAGGAATCTTCTCAATCCATTTATGAAACTGGAGGTATCCAAGGATTCAATGACCTCGATATGGATAGCTCTGACACTTAAACATGTGAACAAAATAGCCCACCTCTTGCTCTCCGCATGACCTCCTCTTGTCCGTCGGGCAGATACAGACCATGGACCAAAGACATCTAGGCCGATATTAGAGAACGGTGGTTCCGTGCTGAGTCTGTCAGCCGGGAGATCTGCCATCTTTTGAACTTCACATTTTCCTCTGAGCCTTTTGCATGTGACACATTCAAAGATGAGTTTACTCACGCATCGTTTGCCACCCAGGATCCAAAAGCCTGCAGATCTGATAGCTCCTTCCGTGAAGTGCCTCCCTTGATGTTGAGATTCTGCATGGTAGTGACGAACTATCAGGGTGGTGACATGATGACGTCCAGGTAGAATTACTGGTCTTTTCTCTGCAGATCCTAAGTTCGCTTCCTGAAGACGACCTCCGACCCTTAGACTCCCTTGCAGTCAATGAAAGGATCCAACGACCACAACAGGCTGCTCTTTGGAATGCATTGATTAGCAGCAATCAATTCCAGCTCTGCTCCAAGACTTCCTGCTGAACAGATCTGAGAATTATTGTAGTACTGTCTTTGAGAATGTCCACTGACAAGTGTGGTGAGCACAAATGCCAGCCTTTACACTCCATTGAAAGGTCGTCTTGTCTCTTTTTGAAGCACTGAGTGATGTGAATCAATCCTCCAACTGTTCTAACAACTGTTCTCCAACAAGAGAATCGCTCAAAACGATGAGAGCCGAGATGCTGAGACACTACTGTTGTTAGAGTTGTCACTTTCTTTATGTCTGGATCGTATTCTGGATCCAAAAGCTCATATGTTTGCTCTACAACTGATGAGACTTCATGTTTGGATAGAAGGGCTGGACCAGTGAACCATATTGTGTTTCTCAACAGTTCTGCTGGAACAGGTCGTGTAGCAATGTCTGCAGGGTTGTGCTCTGTGTGCACATATTGCCATTGCTGAGGCCGTGTGCTGCGTCTGATTCTCTGGACACGGTTGTGAACAATACATGAAATCTTCTTTTTTCATTGTAAATGTACCCCAGGACAACTTTACTGTCTGTGTAAAAGGTAACTGATGTGAACTGAATGTCAATTTCTGAGACAATAACCTCATACAAATGCACTGCCATGACTGCGGCACAAAGCTCTAGTCTAGGTATGGTATAGCCAGGCCTTGGTGCAAGTCTGACTTTACTTGCTATCAAGCCAGTGTGACATTTTCCATGCCCATCCACAGTCTTTAAATATGCAACTGCTGCCACTGCTCTTTCAGAGGCGTCTGAGAACACACAAAGTTCTTTGTGCTTTGCAGCAGATGGTGGTACATGTGTGTAAGATCTAGGGATCTTAAAATGCTGCAACTCTTTAAGAGTGCTTCTCCAACTCTCCCACTGCTTCTCCTTCTCTGGAGGAAGAGGCGCATCCCAGTCTGGGGAGTCTGTGGTGAGTTCTCGAAGAAGTGCTTTGCCCTGAATGGTGATTGGAGACACCAATCCAAGTGGGTCGTACAAACTATTTACAGTGGAGAGGACTCCACGCCGAGTGAATGCTTTTCTCTCCTCCTGAACTTGGTAAGTGAAACTGTCTGAATCCAAGTCCCACAGCAATCCTAAACTGCGCTGCATAGGCAGGTTGCCTGAATCTAGATCCAGGTCTTTCAGATTGGTAGCATGATCCTCACCAGGAAAAGCTTCCATTACACTTTTACTGTTAGATGCCAGCTTATGTAGCCTTAGATTAGAACAAGCTAACATGTCTTTTGTTCTTTTTAGCAGGCTGATGGCATCCTCTGACGAAGGAAGGGATTTTAGGCCATCATCCATATAGAAATCGCGGACGACAAACTGTTTAGCGTCCTCACCAAACTCTTTTTGGCCAGCTTCTGCTGCCCTCCTAAGGCAGTAAATAGCTACTGCAGGGGAAGGGCTGTTTCCAAAAACATGCACCTTCATGCGGTAATCTATTATCTCTCCTTCCGGCTCATTGTTCTTAAACCAGAGAAACCGGAGGAAATTGCGATCTGCTGGTTTCACTGTGAAACAATAAAACATTTGCTCTATGTCTACTGAAAAGGCTATTGGTTCCTTCCTGAACCTCAGAAGGACTCCATTGAGGCTATTATTGAGATCAGGCCCTGTTAAGAGTACCTGATTCAAAGAAAGTCCGTTATGTTGTGCACTAGAATCAAAGACAACTCTGATCTGAGATGGTTTTTTAGGATGAAAAATCCCAAATGAAGGTAAATACCAATGCTCCTCCCCTGGTCCCAGAGGGGGTGCCTCTTCTGCGTGCCCGTTTCTGAAGATCCTTTCCATGAAGTCGAAGAACTGCTGTTTCATCTCCGGCTTTCTCCTGAAGTTTTGCTGCAGTGAGTGAAGTCTCTGAAGTGCCTGTGAGCGGTTCTCTGGAAGCTGTGGTCGCCATGTCCTGAAAGGAAGAGGAGCGACCCAGTTGTTCTTTTCATCCTGATGTACTTCTTGTCCATCATTGTCAGGAATTGAATGTCCTCTATTGAAGGAGCGTCCAAATCATCCGTCTTTGTTTGGGAAAGACATCCGCATCCAGACCTTCACTACTGCTGATGAAGCCTGTGTTGAAAGATGAAGTTGAGATGGGGTCATCACAACAGAATCTCTCTTTAACTGTGTAACTCCTTGGACACGGCTCAAATAGAGAGGGCCGTCCAGTTTTTAAGATGTTGGTGTAACAGGAGGTCACAGCAGATGGCTTATGAACATCTCCTAAACATACATCACCAACATCACCCATCCCAAGTCCAGTTTTTGGGCATATGGTGCATTGTGTGGGCCATTCACTTGTTTCCTAGCTTTGTGCACTCTAAGAATGTCTCTGCCTAATAAGAGTACAATAGGAGTTTGCTCCTCGAGCTCAGGAATGTACTTTGCAAGGTGTTTCAAATGGCTGTGGTTTAATGCCACTTCTGGTGTCGGATTTCCGACCGATTATTCGGGATCTCGTTGCACTCGATCAACGTTGGTAAAGCGAGCTGAATGCTGCCATCGTTCGCCTCGATCATGAAGCCACAAGCCTGTCTGCCTTGCGTTTCCATAGTTCCTGCACACGTTTTAAGGAAATACGGTGTGGCTGTCCCTGTTATGTTGAACATATCAAAGAATTCAGTCCGTGCAAGTGATCTATTGCTTTGATCATCCAATATTGCATTCACCTTAACTGCAGCACCTGGACGACCATCTGGATATACTTTCACCAGACTTATTTTAGAGCAGGAGCGTCCTGAGATTTCCTTGCCACAGATTTTGGTGCAAGTCGTGGAGACGGCTTCTTCCTTTTTCTCACTTGTTCCCTCCCCGCCGTTCTCTGATATCCGAGAATCTGGGGTGTTTACCCACGGTGTAGGTCCTGGGTGTAGAGCTGAGACATGTGTTACACTTCCACACTCTGTACAGACTGTTTCTTCTTCACAGTTTCTTGCCAGATGTACAGCTTTACAACATTTGTAGCATATTCCATATTTCTTGAGAATTGCCTTTCTTTCTTCAATGAGCATTCCTCTGAAGGTTCTACACTTCGAGAGAGGATGAGGTTTGTTGTGTAGCACACAATGTTTGGCTGGATCATCTGTTATGATGGGTCTGCTTGCAGATTGCATACTGGTTTGAACAGAGCCACATTGCTGTCCAGGTGACTTCTTAGTGAAAACCCCTGTCTTCATTACAGCAAGAGGTTTATGACTATCAGCTCTTAAGCTTGCCTATGGTGCTCAGCTGAATCATTATTCGAAGTCGTTGGCATAAAACAGGGATCAGTTCTCATCTTTGCTTGGTTACAAACAAAGTTCACAAAGAATCTGAATGGAGGGTAGAGAACCCTGTGTTCCTGCTTATACTGAAAGCCTGATGTTAGCCATTTTTCTTGCAAATAGAATGGCAACTTCTGTACAATAGGATTAATTCCACGTGGCGTGTCTAGATAGCTCAAACCTAGTAGATCACCGTCCACCTTAGCTGCTTCTATTTCCATTAACAAATCGCCAAGTTCTCTTAGTTTGCGGTGGTCTTTATTAGAGATCTTTGGAAAACTTTCCAACCTTTTGAACAAGGAACTCTCCACCACCTCTGAAACCCCGTAACATTCGTTTAGTCTATCCCAAACTGCCCTGAGGCCGTACTCAGGATAATTCACATGCACCGTTCTTAAACGTCGAGCATGTTCTGCTGAGTCTTTCCCTAACCATTTGACTAAAAGGTCAAGCTGTTCATTAGCTGAGAGGTTTAAATCTCTGATTACACTCAAAAAGGATGCTCTCCAGGCTCTAAAGCACTCAGGACGATCATTAAACTGTGTGAGTCCTGTGGAGACTAACTCCCGTCTGGCCATGAATCTGACAAGGTCAGACATACATTTACTTTCATCCCCATGACTCATTTGCGAACCGTCGTTGGGATAGCATGCGTTTTGTGGCAAAGGCAAATGATCATTTCTGTCTCTATAGTCTGTTCTACAGAAGGGAATGTCCGTTGGATTATCCCAAGAACCTGTGTTTTGCTCCATTTTTGGCATACATTTTTTCATTTAATCTTGTCTGTAGCGTGAAATGGTGATTGGACCCCACTGTCCTAGTAGGATTCTGAGCCTGCATCATTATGGCAGGTTCTGGTCTTGGCTGAACTGGCAACGCCATTACTGATGCAGAGGTTCTTTGCTCCAAGTTAAATGTAGGCCCATGTTGGGTTGCTCCCTCAACATAGTCTTTTGTGCGTGAATCTGGGTCCTCATTTGGGACATCTATTTCACTGAAGGTCTCACTATGCTGTCCCACAGCTAATTCTAAGACTTCGGCTTTAGCTTCTGCGGCTGCAGCTCTTTTCTGCGAGCGCACCTTTTCCAAGGAAGCCTCTAAATGTGTTTTCTGAAGCTGTGTTGAAGCCTCTAGCTCTGCTTGTTGTAACCTCAGTTTAATTTCTTTCTCGACGAATGCTGCCTCAGCTTTAGCTGCTTCGGCTTCTGCACGTGCCAACGCTACTGCTACTTTGCTAGCTTCCGAACTCGTAGACTGATTAGACGAGCCTGAGATGCGTGATCTTGTTTTAACAGATCCTGATATGGAGCTTTTTCTTGACATGATGTAGGCTGAAGCGTGTTGCTTACTCTTTTGCTGAGCTGGATTTTCTCCGTTGATTAATTCGTTTACTTTTCACTGTTGAAGCTGGACCGCCAGAAAGTGTCGTTTTACTGTCATGTCCTCAACCTCCAACGCCTTGCCGGAGTCGACACTCAGCTAAACTCCTCTCCAAAGGAATCACACAGACTGGAGCGTTTGCGTTGAGTCTTTAATGAAGCCAGTTGGAGTAGGTGTAAAACTATGAAATAAATATACAAACTTTGAATAATACACAGCAGCGCCAATACAGCACTCACAAGTACACTCGGTCGCCACAACGAATATTAACATAAATCTTATACGTACCGACAGTGCTTTCTAGGACCAATTGTATAACAGTAGCCGTGTTACTGCGAAAGCCCATGCGCTGCGTTGTCCTGACCTGTCGGCTTTCTAATGACATCATTAACGCTCGACTCTTAAAGTGATGTACATAAATTTCACCAGTAGATGGCGACATTGAACGCTTAAATCTTATAACTTGTAGAATGTCAACTGACATAACATCACACTTACTTTTTGTGATCATATGGTCTACTTGCTGATTACTTTCATGTAAATTAACAAGGTACTTTCCAAATATTAAGGATTACATTTTTGCATCTTCCATGTTATCCTTTTCAAGTTCACAGGATTCTTTCTAGGATGTTCAGTCAATGTCAATGAGATCTTATGATCTCACAGCTACTTTTCTAAAGGCTATTTTCTCTGATCTTACAAAGTATTTTCCAGAAAGGGCAAATTACTTCTCTGGAGCTCATGCACTAATTTTTTTTTTGAAATTTATTGGTTGCAATTTTGTGATTTTAAAATATATTTTAAACATAAATGTAAAAAGTAACTGAATAAAGGACAATAGTACATTTGTTCTGATAAATGACAATCAGGTCTTAGAGATGTTCCTCAAAACAACTGAAAGATGTTAGCTCTTTAACAAATAATTGGAATCGCCAGTAAATAGGAAAGTTTTTGAAATATAATTAACAAAAAAGTTAGCTGACTCAATAATGCAATATCAATTATATTTTCCCACAAAACCTGATTTGAAACAAAATTCTAAAATGGATCACAATTTTTTAAATGACATACAGACATTTACCTACCCACTCATTATGACTTTTTGCTGTATAATTAAACTAAACTTAATTACCTTTTTTTTTACTTTTAAGAGAAATGCAGTAGTTTTCCATAAATTTTAGCACTTTATTCATTTGTAAAGTTTACTGGGAGTGACATATATATTTTGTTGCCTCTATTGGTACAAACAGGCTTCCAGTCTTCACACTTCCAATACACCTGAGTCACAAAAATGATTTAATCAGCTCTGATGTCGCTAAATATCAATATTTACATTATTGACATCTTAACTGGATTACTCCAAACCTAAGGACTGGGAGATTTTCTTACTTTTATTTTTACCTCACTTTTCTTTACCTCCAAGTTAAACTAGTGCAAAAATGCCTCCGACTGACCCCAAGGACATGAACAGTATTTTACAATGACATCAGTCTATAGAAATGAAGATTAAACTGCTGGAGGTGAACTTTGAGATCAACGCTACCTGTGGAAATGAAACAACTCTTCCTCAAATCAACAAAGAGGTCGTGCACCCTGCACCGGGCAGCTCACCCTGGAACGCTCTGGGTGTCAAGCCGAAACGGGAGTCTCGCACTGCGGGTCCGATGAGACGACTATCAGGGAGAACCCCGCACCTGGACAAATCAGCAAACCCACCTTCAACTTCCAACACCTGCTCCGCCGAAGAAAGAAAAACAAGCAGCTGCAACCAAAACGCCTCCGCCGACCCCGCTCCCAGAGACAAAGTGACCTGCACAAGCCTCAAAACATTCTGACTCTGTGGGAATCCCACTGAAAAACAGATTTTCTGCACTCCAGCCTGAGCCTCTGAGTGAAACTTCGCCTTCAAACATCAACAGTGAGGCAAGACCAACACATCCATTCCCCAAAGCTCCAAAGGACAAAGTGACCACCAGGAAAACAAAGGGTATCCCAAAAGTGCTTATAGTTGGAGACGAAAAACACTCCAGGCTGCTCACGATAAACAAATGGTTGATTAAAAGCTGCTCTACCAGCTCAGTGACCTTCATCGATAACCTCTGGATCTATTGGCAGCGCTTTCACTTTTTTGGAATCTTAATGAACATGGGATAAAGCTACTCACTGCAAACCTTTTTTATTTTGTCAACAAGGACAGCAACGGGATCACCGCTTCAGAAGAACGGACTCAAGGATGTCTGAGTAGGACGGAACGCTCCCAGTATCAGGAACACGATGTTCCAAAACAAGCTGATAAATCCACTGGAGACGACACGACTGCTTTTCTCCCTCCTTTCCCCCTCCCTCTCTGCTCCTCCAATCATTCCCAGGATTCAATAGATACCAATGAAGAAATGTCTTCCGGACCAGTTTCTTAAATTTCCAGATGGAATGAATCAACAGGTTCGCCTCAGCACTGTTGGCCTTCTATCACCTGAAGAACATCTCCAGGATTAGAGGACTAATGTCTCAGCCAGATCTAGAGAAATTCATCTATGCGTTTATCTTTAGTCGCATTGATTATTGTAACAGCGTCTTCACAGGCCTGTCCAACAAATCAAACAGCTGCAGCTGATCCAGAACGCTGCTGCTCGCGTTCTCACTAAAACCAGGAAGATAGAGACATAACACCAGTTTTAAAGTCCCTCCACTGGCTCCCTGTAGCTCAAAGAATAGACTTTAAAATACTGTTGTTAGTTTATAAATCACTGCACGGTTTAGCACCACAATACATCAAAGATCTGCTGTTGTTGTATCAACCTTCCAGACCTCTCAGGTTCTGGTTCTGGTCTGCTCTGCATCCCCAGAACCAGAACCAAGAGAGGAGAAGCAGCTTTCAGCATCTATGCACCAAAAATTTGAAACAAACTTCCAGAAAACTGTAAAACAGCAGAAGTTGAGATTTAGTTTAAATCTCAACTAAAAACATGCCTGTTTAGAATTGTATTTGAAATGTAATATGCAACAATGTATTGTTTATTCCATGATGCATGACTTTGTGTTTATGATGTAAAGCACTTTGAAATGCCTTGCTGCTGAAATGTGCTATACAAATAAAATTTTATTGATTGATTAAATCAAAGCACTCTGACCAACAAACAGATGAGGAAATATTTTGCTGGTAATCAGCACATCTGAACAATCATTATGATAATGTTTACGTAAGATTAGGCTGTTTTATGGACCCTTTAGAAATGCATCAACAAACCCAATAAAGCAATAAATATTTGCAATAGGAAAAGACAAAGTCACAATTTATTGATAAAACTAGTAAGCATGTTTTCTGGGGTGTTATCAGTTCAGGCTTTGTCCTCTGCTCCTGTGATAAAAAGATGAACGTTTTTGTTGGAGTGCAGCATCTGTCCAGCTCGCTGGGCTCCAGTGATGGCAGCCAGCTTATGGGCATCGTAGCGGGAATAGAGGGCAGTGCAGGTCCAGCTGGCCTCCTCCCCCTGACCTCCTGCTGCCAGCATGTTGCACACCTCGCTGTAGAAGTGGGGGAAGGTGGGCAGGCCATAAAATATCAGGTTCTTGATCCCTTTGATAGCGTACCTGAATGAGATGAGCACGATGTGAGGAGATGGTTACAGGTAGAATAGGAGTTGCCGCATAATTTGATGGTTAAGAAAAGGTAAACAGACCTTTTGTAGAAGTGGAAGCGCTCGGTGAAAAGCAGGAACTGTTTTTCTCCTTTCAGAAAGAAATGTCTGGCTCGAGAGACCTCCGACTTGCTGGAATACTCGCACACGGACGTGAAGTTAATCTCCTCTTTCTTCATGTGATTTCGCAGCCGGACGTAGTCAAAGTAGGATGGGATGTAGATCAGAGTGTGGGACATGACAGAGTCCTTATACTGAGGAAGTACTTTATCAATGAAGAACTGAAACCTACAAGCAGATGAAGGAAATGATTAAGTATATTTCAAGCAAAAGGCACAGCGAGGAGCTTACAAAGTTATTTTAGGTGAGACACGTACCGAGTATCTTGATTCATGAAGCTGTCGGATGAAAACATCTGGAACACATGAGGCAGCTGAACCAGCACCTGGCAGATGGAGCCAGTCTTTGGCATGTTTTTTATTGTGATCTGAGAAAAGAAACAAAACACAAAGCATGCAAAGTTCAGTCAGGTGTTAATAATGACATGCAATGATCTCCTACTAAAGCATGCTTAAATTAAGGAAATTGTGAGATTTCAGATCTTTGAAATACAAAAATAAGCAAGTATCTCTACTGCCTGACCTGTCCTCTGTAGTTGGCACAGTGTTTAGTGAGGATGTTGTTGATCTGCGGGTCCTGGATGGAGCTGAACACCAGCGTCTGTCTATAGTGTCTGGCCCAGTTGTTCAGGTTCCACATCCGCACTCTGGAAAAGTCGACTCCGTGGGAGTCCAGCGGCTGCAGGTTCATGTGCTTCATCACATGCTGGAGGGTGAGGACAACACTTACAAACTTCAACACATGAACACGTTAGGCTTGTAGGTCAAAGCTTAATAATTCCTAAGCTTTAAACAAAACATTGCAGTAGCAGAACCATCCAGCTTGACAAAACAAATCAAGGTAAATAACAATAATATATTGAAGAGAAATACTGAACTCGTTAGATACATATTGACATTTGAGTTTTAAATCTTAAAAATCACTGGTTCAATAGCTTATTGTAATAGACTTAATATTCTAGTTATGAAGAATGGAAAACTTCAACAGCAGGTGGCGCCACATGTAAACTCCTCATACCAAGACATGCTCCCAGTTCTGCATGAGGAAGACGTCAGTCTGATCCAGCACCAGCAGCTCAATGGATGACAGGAAGTCGTAGTCTCTCTTACTCTCTCCTTCGGCTCCCAGCACCGTGCGGAGGCCAAGCGGAGACGCAATGATGATGTCTGATGAGTAGAAGGGGGCGTAGAGACGCATGTTGCCCCTCACTATGGACACACCTGGGAGGGAGAGTGCAGAACCACCAGGATGTTGGGTCAGGTAAGTGGTGAAGGTTTTAAGAAACTCCTTATGTGAAGACGTACCTATCCTGAAATGATCGTCCACGTTGCCAGAGAAGACAGCGTGGTAATCATCAGGCCGGCGCAGGTTGGCTGGTTTTTCTTCCTCTGTTTCTCCAAACTCCTCCTTGAACTTCTTCTTGTTGCTGACAATTATCTTCTTGCCTTTGGTCTCCAGGAGGCTGATGAGAGTGTGAACGACTTGCAGAGCGGCCCCCCGGAACGGAACCAGGATCAGAACCTGGGACAAAGTGGTTGCAATCCTTACATATTCTGTGATTTTTACTTCACTCATCAGTGAAATAAAAATGTAAAATATTCATTTTCTAAAGGACAGTA